TGGAGAAATCATTCAGATGTCTCCTCAAATGAGCCTGATCTTTGAAACAATGGACCTTTCCCAGGCTTCGGTAAGTTTGTAATTTAATACAAAAGTAGTTCATTTATTTGTTCATTCATTCATTTAGTCAGAATTTTTTATTATGTGTCATAAAATGGGTTTAGTAGTGGGTATACAGATGATAAGACACAGTTTAAGCTTGTTTAGGAAGGGTAAGAAGCATTCTTATAAATAATTCCAATACACAGTTACGTGTGAGTGCTCCAAGAGCATGGAGAAGACTGAGCCGCCATAAGGGGAATGGATAGTGGAGGACCATGAAAGGTGTTTGAATATTTGATCTGGTTTTGAGGAAGATGTAACACTTCTCCAGGGAGATTGGTTGGGCCTGGATATTCCATATAATGATAAGATGATGTGTAAAGACATGGAGCTATGACATGTCTGGGGAATAGAACTGAAAACAGTTTTCTGTTTGGTGAACATCTATATGAGGCTATAGAGATAGAAACCAGATTACAACAGGCCTTATAAATCATGCTAAGAAGTGTTGATAATTGTCAGGTTTTACTCGTATAGAGGTAACCATGGAAAAAGAAAACTTGTCTTTTTTTCTCTAGCCTGCCACTGTAAGCCGATGTGGCATGATTTATTTGGAACCCTCACAGTTAGGATGGGAACCACTTGTGTCTTCTTGGTTGCATTCCCTGAAAGGACCTCTACTTGAACCAGAACATCAAACTCTTCTGAAAGAACTTTTTGACTGGTTAATAACACCTTCTTTGAGGTTTCGTAAGAAAAATTGCAAGGTAACATGATTCTCTGACCTCTTCAAGTTTCTTAAGTTTTTTATTCAACTTAATTAATCTAAAGTCACAATGGTAGTGAATAATAAACAGTTTTCTTTATACACATTCAGTATCCACTGGGAGTTTTGTATTGTTCAAGTTACAGTTGAATAACTATAGGTTAAAGTTATTCCAGCTAAACTATTTATTTATAACCATAGAATTTAAAACTTTTAAAATCCCAAATATGTTCTATATTTAAGAAATGTTTTCAATGAATGACTTCATAAACTCATGTGTTTAGTATTTTATGAAAAATCACATATTTTATTAGTTTCCTAAGGCTATCATAACAAACATGATGTTTTCAAACAATGGAAATTTATTCTCTCACAGTTTTGGAGGCCAGAAGTCTGAAATCAAGATGTTAGCAGAGCTGAGCTTCAAGGGAGAATTTTTGTGTATCTCTTCCAGATTTTGGTGGCTTCAGAAGTTCCCTGGCCTGTGGCTATATAACTCCAATTTCTTCGTCTATCTTCACATGGTCTTCTCCTCTGTCTCTGTTGTGTATGGAACTTAAAAAGACTTGGGGTGTTGGGTATAGGGTCCATAGGATAATCCAAAATGTTCTCCTCATCTCAAGGTCCTTAATTACTTCTTCAAAGACCATTTTTTTTCAATAAGATCACTTCCATAAATTCCTGGGATTAGGACATGGAACTCTCTTTTTGGGGAGCTACTATTTAGCTATCTTCCCCAACATGTCACACGTATATCAACACATTTTTACTTATGCATAGATAAATATGTTCATATAAAAAGGGAAAAGTAGTATTCAATAGATTTCTAATCCTAAAGTATTATTTTAGGGGTAGAAAAATGTGGTATATAAAAGAAAAATCAGCTAATTCTACCTTGTGAAGATCATATGCATTGTCTTCATAGAGAAAATACACAAAAAAGTTCTTTTGCAGTTCTTAAGTTTTAAACCTCTAATACTTATACATTTTAAATAATACAAAATAGACTCCATATTTCCAGGTAATGAATGATGGATTTCTTTTCACAATTCTATATTTTCTATATCCAGTCAGTTCTCAGAGAACTATTGATTTTTCCCTCCTTGATAACATTTTTATTTATCTTCTTTCCATTCCCATTTCTTTTTATTCCCAACCTTTTTATTATAGTAGGCTCAGTTCTGACCTTAATAATTTGTTCAGGTCTGCTGAACAAATACAGTAGACCTGCTCTGGTCCAATCTATATCCTGATTAAATTAGAGTGAAGATTCCAAAACATAAATCTATTCTGTTTACTCCTTCACTTAAAACCCTCCACTGGAACTTTCTCTTATACTGAGATCACTAACACACCCCACAGTGCTTTTTGGAATCTGACCTTTGTCAGCTTCTCAAGCCTTGTTTTTTGCCATTCCTCCTTCACACTCTATTTTCATATCCAACAGAATTTTACTAATTATCTGCTCATATCTCCTTTCTTTGAATGAATGGCTGCCCCTTCCTTCCCTACCACTTTTTCCTTCCAAATTCAACTCAGCTATTGCTTCCTCTGGGAAGCCTTCCTTGCCTTAATCCTCTTCCATTTCCTTGGGGCCAGGCTAATKGTTTATCCCCAGTATTCTAATAACATTCTCCTACCCTGAGACTTCCTCTATCATACCATTATCRCAACACAATATATTTGACTATTTAGTTTTTTAAAAATATTTTTAGTTGTAGATGGACAGAATACCTTTATTTTATTTATTTATTTTTATGTGATGCTGAGGATTGAACCAAGCATCTCACACATGCTAGGTAAGCACTCTACCACTGAGCCACAACCTCAGCCCCATCTATTTAATTTTAACATTGCTCCTTTTCAGGCATTATTTTTTATTTTCATTATCTCCTAACATGGTATATAGGCATATAGGCATGTCTTTCATGCCTATATGAAATGCTTGTTGAATAAATAAATGAATGAATTGCTATAAGAGACTTCATTTTTGTTATCTTTACAACATTGTTTATTCCCTTATAGAAACTAGTTTGCATTTCTCAGAGGATTTAGAGTATGTTATATACAATTTTTTGGTTATGGTTATATGCCAAGCTAAAGTAGTCAAGAAATGGTTTTTATCAGTCAAAAAAYTAAATTCTTTAGATGTTTTTAAATGAATGTTTTTAAATTCATGTTTATGAATATAATATATGTTATCAGTTTTTAAAAATGAAATATTTATCTTCTTTTATTCTTCAAAGAAACTGAAAGTTATGAATAATATCTTATTCTTTTCACTTTGCAGGAACTGATTCGTACCAGTAATAGCAATGTGGTTGTCTCTCTCACAAGGCTCATTGAAGTACTACTCTGTAATGTGGTAGAAAACGATCCTACTAGCAAGCACATTCGTGTTTGGATTATGGTTGGTTTTATACTTTATGTAGTTTTAAATTACAGAAGAAAATATGCTTCTGGCAATTTTTACTTGTATTGAGTAAGACATTTATAAGATTCAAAACTGTTTTCTGGTGATCACTGAAAGAATATTGAATTCGCTAAAGTTACCTGACCTGGCAACTTTGATTCTGATACTAAAAAACACAAGAAAATAACATATGTCAGAATGAACCAAAACTGCCCTATTTTTTATGAAACATCATAATTTGATAAACACTTGATAAGGTGATTTAATAGTAAACCCATTGAGACTTTAGATAAATTGATTTATCGTTATAATAAGCCAGCATTAAACAGCATACAAACTAGCTATGAAAGACTAGAGAAGCATGACAGGCAGAATCCCTGAAGGATTTAAGTAGAGAGAAGCCAGTAGACTTGGCTAGCTAATGTCGGAGTTCAGAGAAGACCAGAGACCATGGTAATAGTGAGGAGAAATTATCAAAGAGAACCAAAGGAAAGGTTTTGTTCCTTTTCCTTGTCTAGGCCTCTTCCCCATCTGTCACATTTTTTTCTTTTCAAAAATAAAAAAAATATTTTTTAGATATATATGACAATAGAGTATATTTTGACATATTATACATACATGGAGTAAAACTTCCCATCCTTGTGGGAGTTACATTGGTCGTGTATTCATACGTGAGCATAAAAAGGTTATATCCAATTCATTCTACTGTCTTTTCTATTCCCATCTTCCCTTTCTTCCCTTCATTCCCCTTTGTCTAATCCAATGAACTCTGCTATTCTTCCCTTCCCTACTTATTGTGTGTTAGCATTCTTATATCAAAAATAATTTTCAGGCTTTGGTTTTTGAGGATTGGCTTATTTCACTTACCATGACAGTTTCCAGTTCCATCCATTTACTGGCAAATGTCATAATTTCATTCTTCTATATAGCTGAGTAATTTTATATATATACCACATTTTCTTTATCCATTCATCTGTTGCAGGACACCTAGATTGGATCACTAACTTTGCTATTGTGAATTAAGCTACTATAAACATTGATGTGGCCATGTCACTTTAAAATGCTGATTTTAAGTCTTTGGGGTATATGCCAAGGAGTGGGATAACTGAGTCAAATGGTGGTTCCATTCCAAGTTTTCTAAGGAATCTCCATCCTGCTTTCCAGAGTGATTGCACCAGTTTTCACTGTCACCAACAATGTATGAGAGTACCTTTCTCCCCACATCCTTGCCAACATTTATTGTTACTTGTATTTTTGATAATTGCCATTCTGACTGAAGTGAGATAAAATCTCAGTGTAGTTTTAATTTGCATTTCTCTAATTGCTAGAGATGTTGAACATTTTTTCATATATTTGTTGAACATTCATACTTCTTCTGTTAAGTGCCTGTTCAGTTCCTTTGCCCATTTATTGATTGGATTGTTTATTTTTCTGGTGATAAATTTTTTGAGGTCTTTGTATATCCTAGAAATTAATACCTTATATGAGGTACTGGTGGTGAAGATCTTCTCCCAATCTGTAGAATCTCTGTACACATTCTTGATTGTTTCTTTTGCTGTGAAGAAGCTTTTCAGTTGGATACCATTCTATTCATTGATTCTTGATTTTACTTCTTTTACTTTAGGAGTATTGTTGAGGAATTTGGTTCCCAAGCCGGCATGTTAGAGAGTTGGGTCTACTTTTTCTTCTAGTTCTTTTAACTTTTGTTTATCATGGAAAGTTTCTGATAGCCTTTAAAATTTTATTCTTATTCTATATGTTAGTCATTTTCATAATTGTAATAATATGGAACACTTCAAGAATTCACATATCATCCTTGTGCAGGGGCCATGCTAATCATCTCTGTATCATTCTAATTTTAGTATATGTGCTGCCAAAGGAGGACTGCCACTGCATTCTTAATGCCTTGAGGTTTTCTGCTCTCCTCTTACTCTATGGTCATAGCAGTTCCCTCCTGTTGTTTTCCATTCACCTTGTTGTCACAGAAAATATTCTACCTTAGACATCTCACATTCCAAGGTTTCCTGATAACCGTAACTTCTTCCTTTCTGCCTCCCTTGTTATTGTAATATACCTCCACTTTAGAAAAAAATTGAACAGATATATTTTAAAAAAATATTTTTTAGTTGTCAATGGATCTTTTACTTTATTTATTTATATGTGGTGCTGAGGACCGAACCCAGGGCCTCACACATGTCAGGCAAGTGCTTTACCACTGAGCCACAACTCCAGCCCTGAACAGATATCTTTGAAGTATAATTTATCTATCCCTTCTCCCTACCCCCAGGCTTGGAACTATTTTTCGAAGGACTAGTATCTAACATTCTTCCATACACATCAGTATTACCTTTTACAAAAGAAAAGTATCCYACAAAGAATTCATCTACATATAATTTTCAGGACACACATTTCCTGAAAAATTTTATTCTCCAGGTAAACTGAAACTTTTTCAAATGATTCAGAATCACTTCTAAAGGGTTACATAGGTTGATAATTCCTTGAACATCTTCTCTTAAAATATATTTTACTCATTCCTTTTACTAGGCAAGGCATATATACATAGAGTAAAATTCAAAAGGTAAAATGTAGGTCTTCTATCTATATCAGTCCCTAGCCACCCTCAAGGCAACTATTACAGTTACCAGAGGAATAGCTCTTTATACATTACTTGTCACTCCACTAAAAACTCAGAGAACTTTGGCAGGAAATTTTGTTTATTCAAAGCCAGCTTTGAAGAAGATGGAAGAAATCTTTCAGTTTCAAATCTCTATCTCTGGGAAGTTCAGCAATACAAAAAACTTTTAGAAGAGAAGGTAGAGTAGGACAAAGGTAGAAAACATACATGTGTAGATATAGCTAGCCTGTGTTCACCAGAAACATTCAAGTCTAAGGTTTCCTGGCTCCTAGCAGGTTGAGGTGGTAGGACAGGGCAGGGAAGTGAGAGGCTGCCCTTCAGCCTCTTCTCTCAGTCTGAGGAAGTACAGGATGCTGAAAAACAGGTATCAAGAAGTTGCCCTAATTTCAGAGTCTGTTTCATTTCATTCCTGTGTAGCTTACTAGAGGTATTTTATGCACATACTTCTTTTGTATTCTCAAAATGTGTCTTGGAGTTTGTTTCATATCAGTACTTAAGAGTCACTTTGTTTTTTAAGAGCTACATTTATGTTAGTATGTGTAGCATAATATTAAACATAACCCCTGTTGAAGAACATTTGGGTTGTTTCTGATCTTTTGTCATTTACAAATAGTGCTGCAATCACTATTATTGTGCATTTTCATAGGCAGGAATATATTTGAGGATAAAGTTAAATTCCTAGGTAATTTAGTATGGGCATTTGAATTTTTCATAAATATTGCTAGAGAAATGACTCTTCATATAGCTTAGCTGTGCTTCATTGTACTTTATTCATATCTGTGACCAACTAGTTTGAGCAAGTCCTGGTATGTTAAATTTTAGTTAAGTTTTTCTTTAAATTTCTTTAAATTTTTTTCATCAACAGGCTTGCTTTATATTCTCTTTAATATGGTCCATTGGAGGAGGTTGTGATACAGATAGTCGTCTTAATTTTGATTCTTTCATAAGATCACTCATAATGGGCAAAAATGAAAAATACCCAGTGCCAGACGGTGTGGGTAAATGGGAATGCCAATTTGAAGAAAAAGGCCTGGTCTATGACTACATGTATGAGGTATGACATAAAATGTTTATTATGATAAGATATAAAACATAGTGTCTTGAATCAGTAGACAAAGCTCCTGATTTTCTATCCCAGTGTGATTTAGATTCTTGAGGTGAGCTTTTTCATCCCTTCTCTTTATTTCTTGTTCTATAACTTGTTGGTAGTATAGATTTTCTTTAATAATATCATATAATTTCATGTTTAATTTTAATTTACTATTCCACTTTATATAAAAAGAATCCACAAAAGAATTCTTTTAAATAGTAAGTATTTAAGCATCATTTTATTCATACAAATTTTATTTCACAATCCAGAAGATCTTGATAGAGCCTTAATTCTAATTTTACCTAAATTATAGAAACTTTGAAAGGTAAGTGGCTAGCAGAGCCAGAACTTGAACCCAGTTTGGCAGACCAACAGTGCAGGACTCCTTCCCTCAAAATATGCTGACACAAAAATTTAAGAATATGACCAGGAAGAGTTTCAATCTCAGTAGTCAGAGAGAGAAGTCAATGAAGTACTCACTAAAAGTGAAAAACCAAGAGGTAGTAATGCCAGCATGTTCTTTTAAGAATTGAAGGTAAATACCAAAATGGCTGGATTAAAGAGGTAAAGGTAGTTGCCACTGGAGGGGRAAAWKGGRRGRRGGRA